AAGGTCAGGAAATCTGAAGGCAAAGCCCTTTGGAGCCATCTCCTTGCCTATTGCTTTTAGAAGAAGTGGTAAGATTAAAATGGGGAGGAAAATATGGAGTTTATGCAGGCATCTTCACACTGGACTGGAAAAGTCTCCCCCCTGCATAAGTGAACCTATATCTGAGATTATTCTTCCCCAGTTATGCTTGTTTCTGTCCTCCCTATCTCCCATCCTTTCCTGCCATAGACTGTAAGCCATGTGGGAACTGAGCTTTCCAGCTCAAATTACTCATTAACTCCTTACTCTTCTTTTACCCATAGCTGAGGTTTTCATAGGCCCAAACATTGCTAACCCAGCTTTTAGTCTGCTTCCAGCTGCAGTGAAAGCTCTTCAGTTGCCCCTTCATGCCTACTCATTCCCAGTCCCTTCTTGGTCCTGGAACCTGACCATTAATCCTTTGTATTTTCTCTTCTTGTTTTGTTATCCTGAGCTATTTCATGGTCTTTTCCCCTTGGCTTCTTTGTTGTTTCTTATGTGTGATGCTGGAGGTATTTTTCAGAATATCTACACAAAATTTCCTCTCTCTTCTGGCAAGATGCTGAACATTTCATCTTATCACTGTATATTCTTAATGGGATGCTTTTTGCATCAGCACACAGTTCTGTGCACCTTCCTTCCTTCCTTCCTCCCCTTCCTTCTCCCTCCCTTTCCATTTTCCTTCCTTCCTTCTCCCTTTCCTTCCTGCCTTCCCTCCCTCCCTCCTCCCTCCCCATTTCCTCCCTCCCTCCCCTTCTTTCCTCCTTCCTTCCTTCCTCTTCCCATTTTCCTTCCTTCCTTCTTCCCTCCCTCCCTCCCTTCTAGTAACAGAGTAACGTAGACTACAATACAGCCACACTGAACATCTAACTACGCATCATGGGCATTTGAGCCTGGCCTCCTTGCCTAATACTTTGGTGAATCCTCTCAGGGCAAAAGGACCAGGCCACCCACTTGGCTGAAAGGCTGAGAGCCTAGCCCCTTCCTTCAATGCTTCCAGCACAATAAATGGCCCCGTCCTTACCTCTGTTGAGGAGATATCAAAGACCTCTGCAATTTTGGCATAGAGCTCCTTAACATTGGTGAACCCCTCAATCTTGGCGGTGGGGCTCCCGTGGGCCAGCTGGGTGTGGAAGATGAGTCGAGGCCGCACCCGGGGTGGCGGGTGAGGTGGTCTTGGAACTGCGCCGTTCTGGCCCGGAGCACATCTTCCCCCTACTGCAGAGGGCTGAGAGCCTCCAGTCTCCTGGGCCATGGGGGACCCCTTCTGCTGCTCTGCGTTGTCTTTCTTGCAGTGCTTTCCAGACTTCCGCAGCATTGAGATGCCCAGGTGTTTGAACAAAGGGGACGGTGGCCTCGATTAAATTATTGATGTTGCAGGTGGAACAGCAAGGCTGTAAGGCGATCCCAGCTCTAGTCTGCTACCTGGAAACCTAATCTCTACCTTCCAGTGGGCAGTTCAGTTTGATGAGCTGTACCTCTTCCTGACAATGCCACTCACTGCCCAGTCACACATGCAGGAAACTGCAGGAGGGGGAAAAAATGCCCGATCTGGCAACCTGAAACACACAAACTTGCAAACTATTTCTGTCTCTGGGTGTTTGCAGATGCCATGAGTTTCTCTAGGGAATGCAGATGTTTTGCTGGTATACCTGGAGCACATGAGGCCCAGTTGCTCACTTCTTTTATTTATGGAAAAACAATTTGTGCCTGATTTCCTCAGATTCACTGTTGAGATGGTTAAATGGCTATGTTGTTCTTCCATTACAGGTAGTTCTTGACTTACAGCCGTTTGCTTAGTGACCATTCAAAATTAGACAGATACCCCCTCCCCCTCCTTAAAAAAGCCACTTATGACCCAGTTCTGAAGTTCTGATGGCCGGACCCTCCCCTCCTGTGGTCGTGTGAACAATTTTGAGTACACGATAACAGGCCCTCATTTATAGCCGTTTGCAGCATCCTGCAGTCACATTTTAATGAAAACCTGGCATTTATTCCCGGTTTTCAGCAAAATGCCCCTTTGCCAACAATGTCTTAATGACTGTCACGTTTACTTTACAAAAGTCATAAAATCAGGTTCTTCATGTGTTGACCTGCTTTACAACTGTCACATTTATGACCTAATTGGAAAGCTGCATTTTAACTTCTTCCCTCAAGATGGCACTATAGGGCAGACTTGTCAAACTGGCAGCCTGCGGGCTAGTTACGGCCCATATAGGCCACACCCACTCTGGCTCTACCAAAAATGCAAAAAATGTCGCGATACATCACGATCTTGCCCACAAGATGATCGAGTTTGACATTCCTGCTGTTGAGCATTATATGCCAAAACATCCAGACCAGAGGTGGTATTCAGCAGGTTCTGACCAGTTCTGGACAACCAGTAGCAGAAATTTTGAGTAGTTTGGAGAACCGGCAAATACCTCCTCTGACTGGCCCCGCCCCCATCTCTTCTCTGCCTTCCGAGTCCCAGCTGATTGGCTGGGTCTTCTTTTGTTGCCCTGCACAGGAGAATGGAGCTGGAAAGCAGGTTAGTAGGATGGGGAAGGAATGGGATTTTGCAGGATCCTTCCCCTGGAGTGGGGTGGAAATTTTACAGTATCCTTCCCCTGCCACGCCTACCATGCCACGCCCACCAAGCCATGCCATGCCTACCAAGCCAAACCCACAGAACCAGTAGTAAAATTTCTTGAATCCCACCACTGATCTACACCCAAAGAGTTTTCCCCTCCATGCTATCACTCTGCTAAACAACTAATTCCTACAACACTGTCAAACCACCTAGTAGATCTGTATTACCTATTAACCTTCTCATCTTTCCTATTACCTATTTCCTTAGCTTCTAATTATTATAACTTTGTTGTTTGTATCTCATGGTTTATGTTGATTGCTTTTTTAGTATCCTATGACTATCACTGACTGTTGCATCTTATGATTTATGATTGTATTTTATGATTATGATCGTGATTTATCACTTCTTGTGTGTATATATGCTGAAAGCATATACACTGGAGACAAATTCCTTGTGAGTCCAATCACACTTGGCCAGTAAAGAATTCTATTCTATAAGGACTAGAAGAAACATGGAATTTGTCTAGCTTCCAAAGGATTACAAATAAGCTCGTGGCACTTTAAGAATTTACAAATGATGCAGAGATTATAACTGGGAGAAAGTAGGGTATGGTTCAGAGCTATTGCTGTGGGGGAAGCTGAGAATGGTAAAAGGGAAAGTGATAGTCAAGGTTACTTATAGTATGCTGAAATTGAAGTTTCATCTTGCAGGACCCAGGAAGAAAGCTTTTTCTGCTGTGGTGCCTGTTCTATGGAATATATAATATCTTAAATTGACCCCAATCCTCCTGCCATGAAGACACAGCTCTGCCACTATGCCTTGGGGGGGGGGGGGGGGTGGCAAAGAGGAAGAGCTCTTACACTGGCTATGTAGAATGAATTCTGCTACTGACTGATTTTTTTTTTACTTGATTATGGACTGTTTAACTTGCTTTCCTATTTTTATCCTTTCTCAGCCACCCAGTTGTTTAGATGACAAGAGCTAACATACAAATCAAATAAATAACAGCAGCCCAGGTGTGTAATATGTTGTGCAAGTACAGGAATTGTGTTTTGCTAGCCCCAAACTTGAAAATACTTTGAGGAAATTAACAAAGCACCCGTATTTTCTTGAAGCGGTTAGCTGGTTACTGGGCAGAAATCTAAGTAGATATCTCAAATTCACTCCATATAGTTTCTTCAGATAGAATGGAGAAAAGACCCTCCTAGGCATGAGGGCATAAAGTGTTTTGTTTTTTTAAAAACAGGGGACCCCCCCAAAAAAAAGCTTCTCCTGTTGAATTTCTCCCTGTTTTGCGGGTACTGATTTACTGATTCTTTGTCAATGGTACAACCTCTGACCACTATGACCCAAAAGAAACCTGTCTGGGACTTTAAGACTTCCTGAAGTCATGTCACAGTTTCTTTCCACAGTTGTTGCGGTGGGCAACAACTTTGTTCTGTTGGAAGTTAAAACCCACCCCTCTCCTAGGAAAATGAAATACTTTAGGATATATTAAAAAGGGCAGAATATTGCCTCTAAAATAGAAGTAGAAACTCTGAGAGGCAGAAACTCAGCACCCCTCCCACCTCTGTTAATGGGCCATTAAGGCCTGGGCGAGTCTATTCTACATAACAAAGATCTACCTCCTTCAGGCAGAGCCACAATAGGAAGTGCCCAAAGCCCCTTCATTGCATCACCCAGCAAACTTATTGCTGATTCAACCAAACTGATTCAAGCTGATTCAACCAAACACACCCTACAAAGCTAGCTATGACCTCCGACAGCAACCATCAGGATACTCTTCCTGTGCCCCAGGAAGTTCAAAGCCAGGAGAAGGCATAAAACCCAGGCACTCTCAGCATATCTTCCCTTTTCTTCGACCAAGAGCTCCAAGGCATGTGATCCTGTTCTTCAATAAACCTTCTTTCCAAGCAACTTGCACGATTCCAATGTCTTTTTCCCCACTCGGAACTGAACACAGAAGGATATTTCTTCCAACAGTTCTTTGGGAATTAATAGCCCAGCGTTGTGCGATTTTTATCTCCTTATTTAAAATAAAATACGAAGCGCGAGTGGATAGTTTCAACAAAAGCAACTCATTGATAAATACAGGAAGGGGCGACCAAATGCCTCCAAAGTATTTCACCATAAATCTCTAATCCTTGATGAACACTTGCTATTTTGAAGAGCCTTTTGAAGAGCTCTCATTGGCTCCGGGCCTCCATTCCAACCAACCCCAACGCGCTTGGAAGTCATGACGTATTTCATTACAGGCGGGCGGGGCGGGGGAAAATAAAGAAGCTGGCCTATCCCGAAAGAGAGGGGAAGCCGCTCTTCTCCAATCAGCGCCTGGAGAAGCGAAGCTAGTTTAGCATAATGGTACAGCTGGGCGGGGGCGGGGAGGGGGAGGAGCTTCTGCTGGTGAAAGGGACGAGAAAGAGAAAAAAAAAAAGAGCAGGAGGACCAGGAAAGTTTTGGGACTCAAATGTTGTTAAGGGTTGCGATAAGAGGGAGCGGGGAGATCAGCCATACCAAAGAGGGGGGGTCGGCGGGGGTGGGATGTGGGGGCTGCGCAAGGTGGGAAATTCAGGAAGAATCTAGGAACTTATTTGGGGAGATCCTGGGAGGGAAAGATGGAGGGAGGGAGGAATGGGGGGCGGTCTACTTTCCTCTTTTCCCATCCTCTCCATTGATGTTATCATTTAATGGTGTCTTCCCCCACATAATTGCGATTTCCCCAGGTTCTGTGTCCCTAGTCTAGATTAGAGCAGCCTCACCTAGCACGCTTTTCAAACGTCCTGGATTGCAAAATCCATAAAGCTCCCAGGCAGCGTGGCCGTTTGGAGCTCATTTAACAAATCCCTAAAAGTCCAATGCTTTCAGGAAGTCTCTCCCCCACCACCACACACAAAAAAAAGCCCAAGGGCGATGGTTACAGTGCCTTTTAAAATGGAGATTCTCTTTTACCCGTCCCATCTAATTGATTTGGTGCGGGTTTTCTCCCCTACTCTCCCCCCAAAAATCGTTATAGTGTTGTTTCTTTAAAAAAAAAAACTATTAGTCTTTTATATCTTTAAAAACCGAACCAAAAAATATACATATTATGACATTAACAGTATGTGACATCTATCTCATAAACTTCTATTTTGTGCTTATTTACAAATACATACAATTTATGGGAATGTAAACCTTTAATCTATAGGTTGCTTATCATTAATTCTTTCATCATCCATTTGTCTTAATTCAGTCCAATTATATTTTTCCCAAATTCTATAATATTCAGAGTCCTCTTTCTCTCATAACATCAGGGTTAATTTATCCATCTGAGCCCACACCGTTATTTTTTGAATGATCAATTCGTCTGATGGTATATAATGCTTTCAACATTGAGCGTAGGCAACTCTAGCAGCCGTTAAAATGTGTAATATTATATATTTTATATTTTTCCCACAGTTCTTTTTAAATATCCCTAAGAAGAATAATTCTGGTTCCAATTCTATTTGTTCCTTAAGGATCTCTTGCAACCATTTTTTTAATTTTAAGCCAGTACCTCTGGGCTTCTGAACAGAACCACCACATGTGATAAAAAGTACCCTCTTCTTGCACTTCCAACATGCCGGGTTCATGTTGGGATACATTTTTGCCAATCTCGAAGTTGTTTCTAAAGTTGTGTATTTCAGCAGTCAGCTTTGCCTCTTGAACAATGAATTCCAGAAATTCTGTATAGTGAGTGTTTAAGTGAGGTGGGATTGAGGGGAGGCATCTGCTCCATCTGTTTGATTTTGGTTCTGTGGGATTTTCTAATAATATAGAAGTTCAACAATATGAATGGAGCCCCAATTAAGGTCTTTGTTCAAGGTGGAGATTGATTCTCCATATGCCATGTTTTGCATAATACAGACCGGCCACACAAATGTGTTAGGTAAATTTAAGCCATGTGGTTAATGGTGCAGCATGTCATATAATTTCAGAAAACTGCATTGAGAAAACCATATTTCTGTTTATTGTAAGTGTATTGTATGAACAAATAAGAGGAATTTATTTATCCATCTTAGGACATAAAATGCAGTTGGTATATCTTCCAAATTGGAATGTCCTTTCCCAGGTCACTAATTATCTTTACAGACAGGGATTGGGAACCTGTAACTCTGCAGATGTCATGTAGCAACGTACACTAGCCACAGAATCAACCGCATTTGGAGAATCAAATTCCCTATCACTAGTGTAAGATTATGAGGGGATGGTGGTTGCTCAGTCCAAAATATTGAGCTATAGTGTTTCTCAGCCTTGGCAATTTTAAGATGTGTGGACAATTTTAAGAAGTGTGGACAATTTTAAGAAGTGTGGACAATTTTAAGATGTGTGGACTTCAACTCCCAGAATTCTCTAGCCAGCAAGCTGGCTGGAGAATTCTGGGAGTTGAAGTCCACAAGTCTTAAAGTTCCCAAGGTTGAAAGACACTTAAATTACTGTACGTGGACTAATCCCAATTCAGTATTTGGCAGCTAATTTACTATATAACTACAAATCCCCTAATTCCCATTGACCATGCTGGCTGGGAATGATGGGAGTAGCAGTCCAGTGTAGCTGAAGAGCTTCCATTGAGGAAGTAAGCATCATTCCACTGGTTAACCTAAGATGGCCATTGTTATACATCCAGAGGAGCCTTCCTGTGTTCTATTGAAATTTTCAGATTAGAAATCTTTGGGCATAACATAAATTGATCCCGCAGGGCCTTTTACTTCTTAATCTATGTAAACTGAGCCTCTCTTACAGAGTCATCTTACCTCTAACATTATTACTGTACAGAATCAAGAGGAAAAAATTAAGGTATTTTGCCTTCTTTGCAAGCCCTGAGGGCTTTTACTCAGCCATTGTAAGGGCTAAAATGCTGGATTAAACATTTAAACCAGAGGCCTCCAAACTTGGCAACTTTAAGACTTGTGGATTTCAACTCCCAGAAGGAGCTGAAGTCCACAAGTCTTAAAGTTGCCAAGTTTGGGGACCCCTGATTTAGGCATCCAGAAAAGGAGTTCAGAGACATAAAGAGTCATTTCATCTCCTGTGTAAATTATTTCCTGCCCAAGCTAATTGTAATTTACACTAATAATTTTCACATGTCCTTTTCAGGTTCCTTAAGTTTAAGTGGACATTTATGGTTTTCTTGAATTCAAGAGAAAAGAATGTCACAGAGCTCCAAGCAGCAATCTACCAGCCTTCTGTAAGTGATGAACACTTTTTATTTTGGAGAGTGGGGACTTTGGATTGCGTGAGAGACAAACTCTAAGGTTTGTCTACATGGGATCTTTCTCAAAAATCTAACTTGTATCTAAAAATTTCCCTAAACCTATTTTGAATTGTCACAAATACTGTTAAATGTTTAAATATTCAAATCGTGAAATCCTACATCTTGAGTATATGCAGAATCTCCTTTTCATAGCCAGCTTCTAAAATCTCATTTAGCCACCTCTTTCATTTTTTTGAAATTTACCAGTCCTGGTTATATTTGCATGGCACTATCCTACAGGTTTGTTTATCTATGTATTTATATCTATGTATTTCTCTATTTTCTACAACTCAAGGGGGTGTACATTTTCTCTTACCTCCTTTCCCACCCTCACAACAATCCTGTGAGGTGGCATAGACTGAGAGAGAATGACTGGCCTAAAGCTTTCATGCTTAAGGGAGAACTAGAACTCAGAATCTCTTGGTTTTTACACCTGCTCTTTACCAATTACACCAAATTGGCTTATTAATCTATCGCATGAGCAAGCTACATCTTAGAGTAGGGGCCTTCAAACTTGACAGCTTTAAGACTTGTGGACTTCAACTTCCAGAGTTCCTCAGCCGTCTGGAGAATGCTGTCTGGAGAATTCTGGGAGTTGAAGTCTACAAGTCTTAAAGTTGCCAAGTTTGAAGGCCCTGGTCTTAGAGGATGCTTCCTGTTGGTTCTTCCTCTTTGCATCAACAAGGAAGCAAATTAGACATGTAACTTACACTGATGACTGGAGCCAAACTTGTATTTTTTGTGTGTGCCCAAATAAGCCAGGATCATTTCTTTATTAAACAAATTGATGTAGCGGCCCAACTCGCACATAGATGACTCAGGTACCAATTTAAACTTGTATGTGGGTTGCTTGTTATCTCTGCTGTTTAGGTTGAATAAAACATTTTGCATTCTGTCTCTTCATTTTCTGAGTGAATGAGTAGAGCATATGAACTGTGTGTATTTGCAAACTTGTTTCTGTAGTGGTTTAATATTCCTGCTACAATTCTTAACTGAAAACAAATTGGACATGCCCAGTGAGTCATTGTATTAAAATGGTCTTTTCAACTGGGAGGACTTGTTTTTCATGTAATGTTGGGAATCACTTTATGTATTTAAGTTTAAATATGTTTTTTAAAGATCTCAAAACTAATCAAAAGTCTGATTATGTTTCACAGGGCTTTTTTTCCCCCTACACCTTATTTTTCTCTTCTGTTCTTATTGATTAATTTAACTCTAGCTATGTCCCTAAATCTGTTTTAGTTTTGATGGTAGATTGGAATGTTTTGAAGTTCTCCATTGCTGTTGTGGAAACCTTTCTTGGTAACTTTGGATTACAGGAATGCTGCAAGTAAAACTCAACATGGGAACTTCCTAGTGGCTATTAAGCAGGAGAAAGGCGAGGCCCCTCGGTTAATTGGGGAGAAGCCCCATGGCGAAGAGGAGGTGAGCCCCCTGGTGCGTCCATATAAACACACTGTCAATTTTAATTTGGTTTTTTTTTTTAAACCTAGCTCACCTGAGAAGGTAAATGCCCTTAGTAAATCAGAGAGAGAGAGAGAGAGGAGAGACAGAGAGATAGACAGACAGAGAAAGAGAGAGAGATAGGCAGAGAAAGAGATACAGAGAGAAAGAAAGTTGTTGATTGTAAGCTCCTGGGGGCTGAGAAGAATTGCTGCAAAACTGAGTTTCCTGAAATGGACCACTAGACTCCTAAACAACTTAAAAAACGCTCTAGTAAAAAGAAAAATCAACCAAAAGAACAATATGCAAACAAAAGCAAATAAAACACCCCCAGGATCAAAACAAACGAAAGTTTAATTTGTATGTATTGTTTAATGGATTGCTAAATTGGCCATGCCCCCCAGTCACCCCCAGTTGGCCCCCTGTTTAAAAAGTTTGAGGACCTCTGGTTTATAGCATTTTGAAAGTATCAAAATAAGAATGGCCAGATTTTGCTTACAAAAGCAAAAAAAATAGAAAAAAAAATAGCAAACAGTTTCTAAGTTGTTGCAAAGAAAACTACATGGATGAAATTATTAGGAGTCTAGCTCAACTTGCATAAGACTTTAGCTTTGGGATAGATTAATTATGCTTTCTTGAGCGGCATGGTAGTCTAGTGGTGAAGATACTTGCCTTCCACTCGGAAGGTTTAGAGTTCAATCCTAGGCATGGCAGATGTTTCTTAGGGTGTGAAGAAAAGAAAAATCTGCTGAGAACTACAGATAGGCATTAGGAAGGGCATCCGGCCAGTAAACACTCAACTCCATCCAATTGCCCCAGTTCTACTGGACTCCATCCTTTCAAGGATGTCTTCTCTAGATTTAGATTAACATCTGACAGATGGTACAGAATATTAAAAACAAGCACAAATAGGTAGAAAAACAGCTTCTGTCCCAGGGGAGTAGCTCTTTTGAATTCTACTGTATAGTGCAGTGTTGGTGCGATGTTGTGGGTTTCCGGTTCAATGTGTGGAGGGTGAAGGATGTGTGTTTGTGTTTTATTTTCATGGTCATGATGTGCACTGAAGATGGTGTTTGATTTCGTTGTACGAGGTGCAATGACAATAAAGTTAAGTAAATTTCTGAGGACTAGAAACTTTCATTTTGGAATGTAGCCAGAGATTCCACGTATACTGAATCTCACAACCAGGATGGCAGTTCAGGATTTTCCCGTTTGCTTGTGTGGGATTGCCACAGATATGTGGTGGCAGTCCTGGACACAGGCCTCCAGAAATGCCAGGAGTGACAGAGCAGAGTGACCCAAACTTTTTTGTTTCTACTGTGGGCAGCCGGTGAAAAAGCGGGGCTGGCCGAAAGGCAAGAAGAGGAAGAAAATCCTTCCAAATGGACCGAAGGCCCCTGTGACAGGCTACGTCCGCTTTCTAAATGAACGACGGGAACAAATTCGCATGCAGCGCCCGGATTTGCCCTTCCCAGAGATCACAAAAATGTTGGGAGCAGAGTGGAGTAAACTACAGCCCACGGAAAAGCAGGTGAGAGAACATGGAAATATGTAAGGTTTTCTGAAGCCAGTAGAAATACAAACTGTGATTGTTAGGCATGAATAAGTGTCAAATCTTAACTTCTAGGTTCTCTCAGCTTATAATCGATCCCTTAGCAACCATTCAAATTTACAATGGAACACACACACACACCCCGCCAAAAGATACAACCTGGATTCAAAGTTCCTATGCCTCCCTCCCACCTGGGTCACATGATTGCATTTTTTTAGGCAACCAGCCTGCATTTATGAGCATTTGCAGCATCCTGTGACTGCAGTGTATGGAGGGTTTTTGGCTAGAAACCGATTTACTTCCAGTTTAAAAAAAAACATTCACTGTGAACAATAAGTTTGCTTTATGACTGCAATGCTAGCATAAAGACTGCCTCAAAATAAAGGTCATAAAATTGGACATTATCACATGATGACCTGCTTAATGACCAGCATAACCTACGGCCTTAATTATATGTTCCATTATGGTTGTAAGCGGAGGACTACCTGCATTTTGTCCCTATCTAAGGTTAATCTAGAACAAGGGTGTCAAACTCAAGGCCCTCAAACACAACCCTGATGCGGCCCTCGATGAAATCGGAGTTTGACACCCCTGATCTAGAAGTTACTATTTCAGTTTTGCTTCTACAAGTTTGCATTGTTTTGATTGAATTCTGTTTTTATTGTAATCAGGTGTCTGATTAGGTGCCATCTAGTTGGTTCCTAGTGAACACACCGGTGGATTTTCTTCTGGGTAATTGTCCACAAACTGACCCTTTAGGATTCCATCAGAGACCCATCATTGCTATATTTGAATTAATCCACTATGCTGCTGGTCTTCTTCTTTTTTTCACATAATCTATCTGGAATAAAATAATTTGAGCCTGACTATTTGTGCCTTGATTGAGAAGTCTGGGTATTCAGTGATCCATTTGTTTGTTTTCTTGGCTATCTGTGGTATTCTTAGAAGTCTTCTCCAACACCAAAGTTCAATAACTTCAATACTTTTTCTATTGTATTTCTTCAAAATCTGAAGTTACAGATAGTCCTCGAATTACACCACAGTTGAGCTCTCTATTTCCGTTGCTAAACAAAGACAGCAAAGTGAATTTTGCCCCATTTTATGTCCTTTTTTTACCATAGTTAAGTGAATTACTGCAATTAGTAACACGGTTGTTAAGTGAATATGGTTTTCCCACTGACTTTGCTTGTCAGAAGGTCACAAAAGGGGATCCCAGGACCCCAGGACACTGCAACCACCATAAATGCAGTCCAGCTGCCAAGCACCTGAATTTTTATGATGTAACTATGGAGATACCGCAACGGTTGTAAGTGCGAAAAATCTCATGTCGCTTATTTCAGTTGTAAGCTGAGGACTACCCATATTGGCATATTATGAGCTTCTACGATTATAAGCATGTTTTAGTAAGCACAGGATGAAGAGCCTGTAGAGATTCTCAGTCATCCGGGTCATGGTTGTCCCAAAGGTGCTTTTTCAACTGGACTTTCTTGTTTTTTCTTTGACCACGATTGAGAATTTCTACAGACTTTTAGCTACACAATTTGGGATGAACACCCTTTGAATGGTGTGGGAGTAGGAATGGATTTCTAGAGGGGGAAAAGAATTGGCAGGCTACAGGAACCAAGAGCACTACTCAGGTGACCCTGAAGACACAGATAAACCTCCAAGTGCTTCAGCTACCCTCTAAAAGGATGCAAATGACCAGCTGTCTGCAAGGAGTATAAATCCTTCCATTCCCCACCATCCTCTCAGAGCTGAAGAAGCTTCTTAGATGAGAAGAGAAATGTCTTCAAAAAAAAAAAAAAAACAAAGAAAGTCCAGTTGCCTCCTGAAAAAAGCACCTTTGGGACACGCGATAAAGAGAGGTGGAGTTTGTGGATTGGGTCCATTGTAACTTTTCCTGTGTTTTCAGCGCTATCTGGATGAGGCTGAGCGGGAGAAGCAGCAATACATGAAGGAGCTGAGGGAATACCAGCAATCAGAAGCTTACAAGCTGTGTGCTGAGAAGATGCAAGAGAAGAAAATTAAGAAAGGTCAGTTTTGCAGTTGTATTGGATATTTGTAGATCCAACATAGAGTACAAGTTGTCTCAGGGATTTCCTATTATTATATTTCTTCCTCATATTGTTGTTCTAAAGCAGGGGTGTCCAACCTTGGCAACTTTAAGACTTGTGGACTTCAACTCCCAGAATTCCTCAGCCAGCAAAGCTGGCTGAGGAATTCTGGGAGTTGAAGTCCACAAGTCTTAAAGTTG